ATGTATTTTTTAAAGTGAAATTGTTAATGCATTTCTGTTAATAGATCTTCTTTTTAAAAATATTGATATCTTTTAACCATGATTATTTTTAAGATTATGATGATCACTTACTGAGTAGCCAAACTCATTAAATTATGGTAAACATTTTTTTCAAGATAACTGCGGTTTCATTTTGAGTGCTCGTCAAGATCAACTCTGGAAGATAATGTAGTTGTACTTAAACTTTCTTTTGTTACTTTGTAAGATTTCGCCATTGTAAATTTGTCCTAAAAAGAGATATATATATGTTTTGACTGTCACATCTCGAAATATCAGTATTATAAATTCTTGAGGCGTGACAAATTCCCTCCCCAACCATCTTTGAAGTGAGTTGAAACCCTCTGTGCCCACACCACATCAAGTACTGATGAGATTACCGCCCCATCAGATAGAGGACTCTTTTTGGATCATCTGTGTTGCTAGTGTCGAGTTCTATAGCTGGCATTCAAGGATTAAACAATGATGCTGAGATGGAATTTATTGTAGTTGTTCTCCAAATAGCCGTAAAACATGTGTTCGAATTAGATTCTAAGCTCCTAAGCTCACAATCCTTTTGTGTAAAGGAACATCAATCACCAGGGAGAAAACACAAGCGCAAAGCTACTGTCATCCAAGGAACCGCAAGCAACTCCTAAGAAAATTCAATTTCAATGTTTCAATAGTTATTTGTAATATTAAAAAATGGATATACATGTAAGTTGTTGTTGTTTACAAGGTGAGTATCCCATTAAGTATTTTGTTAGGAGGGAGATCACCATTTGGATATGTAGAGCCACCATATTTAAACATGTAATTTTGGGAATTCAAAGGTGTGAACTTTTATAGCATGTAGTTCTTTGATATATCCAAAATACCAAAGTTGGTAATATTCATTCTTAAACTCCAACCCAAAAATGTCCTTATTTGCTCTCTTAGGCTACAACTGTATAGAGGATTAGCATCGGCAAATCACCTACACTGAAAATTAGTTGAAATTTCGAAAAAACCGGTTCATACATGCCCCCAAAATGTTTGCAAGTGTACTTTGGACTCTTTTTTTTCCTTATTTGTTTTGACACATACAATTTAATATGTTCATCTTAGCAGAATGAGAAGTGCAATAGAGCAAGATAGCAACTTCATAAGCGCATACTACAGACCATAATGTAATAACCTAGATCTGTCCCTTACTCTTTTAGAGCCCAAATTCCCGAGGAAGCAATCTTGAATAAGGCAGAGCGGGAGTTTCTTGGGGCCGCTTCAACATACAGTAGGATGGTGGTTCAATGTTGAGTCTACATCTTGGAACCAAGTCAATTTTGAAGCAACTTTGTGACAAACTGACAATGGAACCAACCGGCAAAGAGCAACAAAGACCAAGACACCAATTGCAGGGTTCACACGGTCCAGGAAGGGTACTACTATTAGTGATCAATTTCCTGTTTGTGAGGGCACTTTGAGCAAAAGTCCCCTACAGTTTTGCTAGAAAAGGTTGTGTCACACTACTATTTAGGTGTGAAACTCCAAGAAGGATTGATATCCTTAAATATAGAACCATATGGGCAATTGTACAATGATGAAATGTATAAGTTGTTTATACCCTCCTAGATACAAGCATATTTTGTATCTAGGAGGTATAAAGGGAATTTGTACTCCAATCTTGCAATGCAAGATTTTTCATTGTATATAACGTTGTGAATTGTTAATGAAATATTCAGAAGTTTTCCTATATGAGTTTTATCATGCATGAATTAATTTGATAAAGGCAAACACCAAGAAGACATTCTAATGAATGTGGTAGAAGCATGTTCACCCCCGGGCTTTTTGGTATACTTGGTTTGCCTTCCAAACCAAGCAGGCCATAGCATCCAAAATCTAGTAAGGAGGGGTCGAAATTGCCAGCTTATGCGAAGGTGAAGCAGAGAACCAACATTTATTGGTGTGCTCACCCTTCACACACCAATTCTAGAGAGTGATGCTCCAAATTTTTAAATTTCAAATGCAATGAAATGATAACAAGACCTCTAAAGGTGGTTTCAGCATGCTAGAAGCCTACAACCTTGCCTTCGGTCTGGTTCACATAACAATAAAGAAATATGAGAGAATCGAGGGAACATAACCTATGTAATGATTTCGTGCTATTCAAAATCACCAATATTAGAAATCCCATATTATGTGGGATTGAGATATTCTCATATGGGAATGGTGGTTCCTCTAGAGAGAGAAGAAAGCTTCATATGGAGAAAAACATTGTGATGGTGCCTCCTATAGACTCCTGAAGATTTAAAGGTTGAAAGGCTTGTTCTTTTGGAGATTGAAATGTTTGTTCTTGGAGATTGAGAAACGTGTTTTTCGTAGAGAAGCGGTTCCCATAGAGATTGTGGGTTGTTCCCTTTTTTATTAGAGAGAAGTCAATTTCTCGTTGCTCTAGTATCTCTATCTGGTGTTGTCGATAGTGGTTGTCAGAAGTAAAAGGAAGGAAGAGAAAGTGACTTAAAAGGGTTTGCTTGGCGTTTTCATCGCGGTAATAGACGTAACTCTACATTCCAAAATCTTTCATATAATGGATTTCAGTTTGCCATGCCGTGGATGTAATCCTTCTGAGGTGAACCACGTAAATATTTGTGTTATTGTGATATGTGTTTCTTCACATATTTCTCGTACTTTATTTGCTAAAAATAAACCCATCGGATTTCATACACAACAGTAACTCTACCAATCTCGACCCCTCATACGTGCAAGAACGACAATTATCAGGAATTGGATATAGACATGCAACTAATTCCCTCCCCAACCATCTTTGAAGTGAGTTAAAACTCTCTGTTCCCACACCACATCAAGTATTGATGAGATTACCGCTCCATCAGACAGAGGACGCTTGTTGAATCATCTGTGTCGCTAGTGTCGAATTCGATAGCTGGCATTCAAGGATTAAACAACAATGCTGATATGGAATTTATTGTAGCTGTTCTCCACATAGCCATAAAACATGTGTTCAATATAATAGTGGTCGAATTAGATTCTAAGCTCCTAAGCTCACAATCCTTTGGTGTAAAGGAACACCAACGACCAGGGAGAAAATACAAGCACAAAGCTACTGTCATCCAAGGAACCGCAAGTAACTCCCAAGAAAACTCAATTTCAATATTACAAGTAACTATATTAAAAAATAGATATATGTGTAATTTTCTCTTCTTGTTGATTATTGTTGTTGTTTACAAGGTCAGTATCCCATTAAGTGTTTTGTTTGGAGAGAAAGCACCATTTGGATATGCAGAACCACCATATACAAACATGTTATTTTGGGTATTCAATGGTGTGAACTTTTATAGCATGTGGTTCTTTGACATATCCAAAATACCAAAGTTGGCAATATTATTCTTAAACTTCAACCCAAAAATCTCCTCATTTGCTCTCTTAGGCTTGAACTGTATGAAGGATTAGCATCTACAACGGCAAATCACCTACACTGAAAATTAGTTGAAATTTCGAAAAATTCGGTTAATACATGCCTAAAAAATGTTTGCGAGTGTAGTTTGGACACTTCTTTTTATTATTTGTTTTGACCTCTACAATTTAATATGTTCATCTTAGCAGAATGAGAAGTACAATAGAGCAAGAGAGCAACTTCATAAGCGCATACTACATAACGTAATGTTATAACCTGGATCCATCCCTTACTCTTTTAGAGCCCAATTTCCCGAGGAAGCAATCTTGAACAAGCCAGAACGGGAGTTTTTTGGGGCCGCTTTAAGATACAGTAGGATGGTGGTTTAATGTTGATTCTACATCTTGGAACTATGCCAATTTTGGAGCAACTTTGTGACAAACTGACAATGGAACCAACCAGCAAAGAGCAATAACGCTACAAAGATCAAGACACCAATTGCAGGATTCACGCGGTTCGAGAAAAGTACTACCATTAGTGATCAATTTCCTATTTGTAAGGGCACTTTGAGCAAAGTGCTCTCCTGTTTAAATGATGACAGACATAAACCATCTTAATTATTCCTCCTACCCTACATTCGAAGAGCTGGGTCACAGCCTAAACTCTTCATATTCCATAATCATCATTTGTTCTGACTTTTAAGTTTGAAACAAGAATGTCTCAATCACCTCTAACTTGCGTATATGAACTTATCCTCTATAAGTGTATCCTTTTTCGGAAAACCCAAGTAATACTTTCTTAACATCGAGTATTATCACTCGTCACTTCAAGCTACTTGATTTCAAGATTTTGAAGATTGGCAGCCAAGGCAATTGTAACCTTTTTATAGACTTGTGTACCTTCCTAAAAAAAAAAATCTCTTAATTTGTTATCCGAGTTTTTCCTTCTAATGATGAGGCTGAATTTGAAATTGATCTTGGAGGTTTTTTCTTTTGTTGAAAAATTGTATTGAAAATTTTTCAATAGATAGAAACATTTGGGCCAGTGTGGGGCTCCCATGCGTCCACATGAGCCGATTGGCCATTAGGGCCTCATATGTGCCACCTTCTTGAAATTTTTTGAATTATTTAATTTCCATCATTTTTTCCTTCTAAAAAACTTTGAGCTCCGAGATGAATTGATTATTTGCATCTAAAATGATCTACCTAGATCAAAGACCACGAAAATTGTCCAGTTGTCCATAAATTTCCCCCAAACAAACCCAAATAGCAAATTGCCCATGGGCACTTTAAGACTTTCTTAATTTTATTAAGGTATAAGGTTGCAACATTAAACAATCAATTTAAGACGCACCTCCAAATTTTATTATAAATATAATTTTGGTGTAAAAAATTCTTAGTATGGCTTGAGAATCTATTTTCATCTCTAAATATAAAATCTTAAACTCAAAAAATGGTCCAAATCAAGTAGATCTATAAATACTTGAAAATAGACGGTCTAAATAATTTGTTGCAAGACACTATTTTTAGGACTCAAAATCTTTTTTTCTTTTCATATTCATACATCTCCATATGGACATGATCAATTAGAGGGTTTTTCAACATCAAAACAACCTTCTATGGTTTATTTTTGAGGAGTTATATAAACCTTTCCATTTTATTAAAGACAGCATACCGAGGTTGGAATGCGACAGTGCAATGTCATTATTATTCACCTGAGAAACCACTCTTGAAAAGGTAAAAGATTGAAAGGCACACAAAGCACTGAAGACAACCAGCACAAACAAAACCTCAACAAAAGAGACACATGAGAGAGAGAGAGCCTAGGCATATGCATCATGGTTTTGTAAGAGGTAGCCCTCAACCGCCTTAAACATGGAAAGCAGGTTCTCCTTCATCTCTTTCCCCTCAACTTCAGAGAGAGGTGCATCCCCTATGGTCTCATATTCAGTCTTCATCTTGGACACACTCCCACCATTGGCGCCCTCCTCGAACTTGAACTCGATTGAGACAGACTTGAATTTCTTACCTATGAGACCTCCTTCGATCAGAGAGTATTTTAGGAAGAATTTCTCGTCATCCAGTGCCACTGTCTTATCCTTCACATATGTATAACCCTTTATCTCTGAGGAGACACAAACACACATGATGGCTTGTTATTGAGGAAGATAAAGAATTAAAAACTCCTATTATTAGGAATCCAAACTCCAATGTAAGAAAAATATCAAGCCAATTGACTGGAAGAGATATATGAAACCACTATTCATTTTCTATGGATTAGGCATAAGAACTTGTTATTACGAAGCACTTTTCTTGTTTTGCTGTTTTCTGAGCTTAGTGCTTTATTGGAACAAAGTAAGTTATCAAAATTGGGCCAGCAACCAAATGGATGAGGGGTTCAGTCCAGTCCAAACTGGTCTAATCATTAGTTGAATTGGTTGGATTGGATTTTAGAAGAAAAAATAATAATATATATATATATATATAATAATTTTAAATATAAGTGTATTAAAAAGAATTTACCCAACTTCAATTAATTGGTCTAACAGGTTAAAATTGACTGATTTGACCAGCTAAAAACCAATCAAATATTGATTTTGAGTGATTTTTTAATAAACCCAATGTTTGCCTTGGACCAAAACTAGCCGAAACACCAGCCGGCAGTCGGTTTGGTATGTTGTTAATAACTATGGAACGAAGGCCATCAGCTCTGGTCTTAAATATACAACGGTATCCTCACGATTTTCCTAGTTTCCCCCAAAGAATATAGATGCATTGTTATAGTCCCATGGACTGCAAAAACATCATAGTCCGTGGCTCATACCCGCCCAAGAAATGGACGGATGGTGATGGCTCATACCCACCATTGCAGTAATCTCCTCTTAAGTCCCAATGCCCCTCTCTCTCTCTCTCTCTCTCTCTGGTTTAGAAAGATTGGGCACAAACCTTTAGTGAAATTGATCTTTTTGACAGTTCCAACCCCACCATTTCCCTCACAAACCTCAACGCTAGAGATCATGTGAGGCATGATCTTAGGGATCAGATTGTGGGCGTCCTTCACACACGCCTTCCATAATCTTCCGACTGAGACAGGAGACACAAGCTCATCGCTGAGACTGCCGGCCACCATGATTTCTTTCCTTCCGCTACAAATAACAAGAGAGAAAGAGTGGAAGGGATGATGGCGAGTTGGAGAGGGAGAGGAGTATTTATAGATGCAGAAGTCAGGACTTTGGCTCATTTTTAATGGAAATCAAACTTGTAGCTTGTACCAAGAATAAATAAAAAGAACATCAAAATATTGCTTGGTTGAATTTGAGGGCTCCGTCCTAATTAGATGAGTCTCATGAGGAAGGTGCGGACAAAAAGTAGAATATTTGAACTTCTTCTTAGAAAAGAGCCAATGCATGTGAACACAAATCCGTCTTTTAAGTGAAGGGAAAGCTTTATATGCTTTCCCTACCCCATAGAAGTTCTATCCTCCTTTCATTATTCAGCGGTCCACTTTTGATCAAGAGAATCACTCACTGTTTGATCTTAGATTCGATGTCTCAAAGTATTTTATTTTTAGCTTTTTTTTATACAGATTGTATGATTATGAAATTTGGTACGTACAATCTTCTCATTGGGGCGCACCTATTAAAAATATTAAAAATAAATTTTCGATAAAATATAATGACCAAAATACTCCTTGAAACTTTCAGGGATATTTTGATCATTTTATTATATTGAAAATATTTTTTTTATATTTTTAGCTAATGCGAGTTTAATATAGGAATGAAGGTCCAAAATTTTGCGTCCAAATGGTTTATAGAAAAAAAATCAAAAAAAAAATAGTGTAGAGACGTGACATTGTGATTGGGGCAATCTTAACCCTCCATTCAGAATGGAGGGTTTGATAAAAGGAAAGATTGAGCTCCAATGCTGTAGGGGAAACATAAAAAGCTAACCTTTATGTGAAAACATAAATTAAGCTATTTTGTTGCTTTCCAAGAGAACTACTCAGTAAACTTTCACTTTCGAAGTTTCCCTCGAGTGCAGCTTAATGCAATGTAATTAAGCTATCATTTGATTTCTAGGGCATTTGTAATTTGGGTCAATTTGAAAATGTCACCAATAACTTAACTTCATGGGATGTTTCAATTGCAATTTTGAATTAACTTCCAACAGTAATTTGGCTATTACTACTGCCAACCCCATCACCACCTCCCATGCTTAGCTACCACCACCACTACTGTTACATTATACCACCACTATTACACAATATTTATTATTGGCTCCAAACACAACATGATAACAATTTAGGGATTGTATATAATGAGACCGTTTACTTTTGATACTAAGTGGTTACAATCTCTTACAACTATTTGATGTGAAATTTGAAAGATTGAATGTGTTACAAAGTTTGATAAATTTCTTTCGAATTTTGAGATTGGTCAATGTAATAATTGCAGCCACTCAATTTCACATCCAATGATCAAGATTATTGTGACCACCTTATATCAAAGGTAAATGATCTCGTTCTAAATTTATTTTTCAAATTAAGGTAATCAAACATTGTAGAGAGCAAAGGACAATTAACCAAATTGCCGTCTTAAATTGAGAAAAAAAAAACATCATTTGTGCAATCAAACGGCCGTCAATGTATTCAAGTTTTTGAAAAACTTCTTGTTGTGGTCCTCATTGGGATAGCTTTTCGAGCTCCTATAAGAACACGTAGAAATGGCACTGTCCACCAGATAAACCAATTTTGAGGTGGGTGAAGGACCCCAAAAGCTCCAAAACCTTCAAATCATGTTTGCCATCAAATAAATTAGAACTTTAAGATAGCTCCTAATCCCTTAGAAGATCTGAATGTATTATAATTTTTAAATACCCCCAATTTATTTCGGTAAGCAAACGGATAGTTGAGATTTGACAAGGCGCAATCTAATGGCCAAAAATTACTCCCACATTTTTTTTTATTTAAATACATTATTTATCTGAATTTTATGGTGGAGGTTTATTTTCTCAAAGGTAACTACATAAAATGATTAAAAAATATTTTAATAAAAATAACCAAAATACCTTTAAATTTATTTTAAAACAATACTTTTATTCCAATAATTTTATTATTTTATTCAACTCTACTTTAAAAAAAAAGAAGAAGCTAAACGCAAATTTCAGCTTAAAATTATTTTTACAAAAAATTAAAAAAAAAAACTCAAAATTTATTTTTAGTCGTTGGATGACAATCCGAACCGTTTCAATCTAGTCACCAACATACAAAACAAAAAAAAAAAAATACTAAGCGCACTTAGGATTAAATACCCTAGGATCTCAACCAAACTGACCAACTTTTAGGCCGTCAAGTCTCGGTGCTCATCATCTTTTTTTTCTCATTTGGCTCCTCTCATATGATAACTGAATCCCAAAATTTAATATCTAATTAATCCACCTAAACCAAGTAGTAAATTTCAATTTTGAGCCCAAGCGTAGTATTGGCGCGCGTCTAATTTGTCAAAAGAAATGTTACTCCCTCGGGAATGTATTGACTATTTACTACCTCCGGTAAAAGCCACCTTGGATTAGTTTTAGGACCCTAGATTTTGGGGGTGTATCCTCTTCACATATATTAACCTCAATAATAAAAAAATCCTAGTTGCACCCGCTTGAAAAAAATAATATCTCAATATTGAATAGAGTGATATCTTAGAAAACTCAATTTTTTTTTTTTTTTTTTTTTTTTGAGAATAAGCATCCAGTGATTCCAAGGTGGTCATCAGATTGAAAAAATCGTCTTAGGTAGATCATCTGACTTAGGGAGTAGAATGAAATTATGCTCTCAAGGGAGCATATTATGTGTGCTCTTTTGTTTTTAAGAATTTCTTTTTTTTTAATAAAGTATGCCAAAGTATAGCATGCCCCTTAATATATTGTCTATTTACTCTCTTTGGTAGAACCCCATTTGGGGTTCATTTTAGGATCTCAAAGTTTAGGGATATAACCTCCTCAACTATATATTACTTTATTCATCATCATCAGAACCTTATCCCAACTATTTGACGTTGGCTACACAAATCATGTTCCCTCGATCCCACTCCATCAAGGGCATCTTTAGCCAAACCATAGGTCACCCATATCTTTTCTCCCTACTTCCATCCAAGTCCTTTTGAGCCTTTCCCTTACCGCTTTAAATCTTTCCACTTAAACCAAGTCACCATGTCTAACAAGTATTGTTCTAAGTTGACAATGCACATGGCCAAATTAACATCGATAAAAACTTCCGAATTACATACTCTAGGCACTTGAAAGAAATAATGTCTCAATATTGAATAGAGACCATCCAATTTTTAAAAGTTGAGATATAAGCATTAGAAAACTCAAATTTTATTATTTTTTCAGAATAATTATTCAGTGATTATTAGGTGGTACCTATAATTTCAGATTGAAAAAGTACCCCACATTGATGTCCTAACCAAGGAATACGTACAGATTATGCTCCCATGCGAACATAGCCCCCAAAGAGGAGGGAAATTTACGTGTAGTGCAAAAAACGAGATTATGAATATGCGGAGGTCTAAAATTTTGAAGCTTTTTTAAGGGAAAATATCTTAATACACCTTAGTTTTTTATATGATTTCTCAATAAACTCACAAATTTAAAATGTATCCAATGGCATCAACTTTCTTAAAACTCTTACTAGGAACCCTTGAACCTATAGAACTACATTTTATACAAGTATCTAGCGCACTGCTCCATATTATGAAGGCTATGAAGGTAATGAAGCCATTCTTCCATGGCTTCTTGGATTCATCAGGGGGTACGGATCCATTTTGGGCCCTCATTTGGATGAGGAGCCCCACAGTCGAGGAGAAGAACGGAAACCAAAAAGCCAATTCAAAGAAAAGGCTGAAACGAGAGTGCAAAAACCCAATTGAACCTGGAGAGAGAGAGAGAGAGAGAGCCCAATTCTGAGAAGAGGAGGAAACTAGAGTGAAAGAGTTCAGAACCCACTTCAAACAAAGAGCAGGAAACCAGAGAGGTCCAAACCCCAATGCAGAGAAGTGCATGACTAGAGAGATACTGTACCTGGGGATGGAGCGTTTAGGAAGGTTAGCGCGATGAAACAGATGAAAAAGAGAAAAAAAGACACGGCAGATCAGAGAGACAAAGACATGGAAATGGAGACACAGAGAGAGATACGAGCCACAACATATTCAATGAGGGTGTTTTCGAAGCACCCTGACCACCTGTACATCCAAGAGATAGATCAGATAGGGTAATAGATCAGATAAGGATGCGATGTTAATTTAATAAAAATGCAAACCAGTTTTCATGGCCAAAGCTCCTCTGATAGCCGGTAGGTTCTCGATTCGACTTGTATGGCCACTATTGACAAATTTGTGTGTCCCTTCGTCATTCTTTGAGAAAGAAGAAAAAAAAACATAGAGGAGAAGAAGAAGTCCCTTCGTCAATGTTTTTAGAAATCATGAGTAATTTCATCATCTTTTGGAAGTTGAGAAATCTTGGGTAATTTCATCATCTTTTGGAAGTTGAGGAGTTTCCATCTTGAATACACCCACTACTTGTGCCTTGGAAATCATCAGAGGCTGCTTTTTTGCTCTGTTCAAATTCAGTGTGTTGGGTGAATCAGTGTGTTGGGTGAGTGTGGTCATTAAAGGCTTTACGAGTGCTTGTAAATGAAATAATATAGTAGAACATGAATTCAGTGGGTGTATAGTCTCTCGTGAACCATACTAAGCAAACGATGTTTATTGATATCGGACTGTGCTTGACGATCTAGGCCAGTCGATTAGAAAAAACCCATGTTACTTGTGCATAGAGTATAAACTGATAAAGGTTTTAATGAGTCATCCCTTAATGAGGTCGAAGTATGCCCTGATGCGTGAGCCGAGGGACTGTATGACCCTTGTGTGTAATGGTAGCCTTCAGAGACGGGCCAAAGCCTCATCCATATATTATCACACAGCATACATATTGATAAACCGTTTCGGAAAAGTAAGCCACCTTTTAAGGTGAAGTGTATGCATGTGCGAGAGATACCCATATACGCCATAGGAGCTGTAGTTGCATCAGGTCTAGGTGACCTTAGCCTGTCTTTAGGGGAGAACCTGAAATCCACAGACTGGGATTGCGACCCCTTGGCTCATCTGCCAGACTTTAGTTACCCACTAATGAGCCCCTGCATGGACTGTGGGTCGTGGAAAATACTGGGTCCGTTTGAT